TTGAATCCAGCGAATCCGGGTTCAAATCCCGGTAGGAGCTTGATTTTGTGCGGCGTTGCAAAGCATAGTATGTAGCCGATGGCGCCAGCTGTCGTGTGAGGCTGAATAATCTCGTTTGAAATTTCTGTTTGCGGATTGGCGAGTTAGTGCTGGTCTTATGGTGTACTGGTTAGCACTCTGGACTCTGAATCCAGCGATCCCGGGGTTCAAATCCCGGTAGGAGCTTGATTTTGTGCGGCGTTGCAAGCATAGTATGTAGCGATGGCGCCAGCTGTCGTGTGGGGCTGGAGAATCTCGTTTGAAATTCTGTTTGCGGATTGGCGAGCTAGTGCTGGTCTTATGGTGTAATGGTTAGCACTCTGGACTCTGAATCCAGCGATCCGGGTTCAAATCCCGCCAGGACCTCGTTTTGCACCGCTCCTACCGGCCCCACAACGCCCCAGTTGCTGCTGCGCTGCGCACCTGCCACAGGCTATAGCCGCGTCACGCTGTGTTGCCGTGGTGTGTTGTATCGTGTCCCGGCGATCCGCTGCCGATTTAAGTGGTAGCTGCTGCTCTGGCAGAGCTCACCAAGCCTAACTGCCGACTTCGCTCACTACCAACTCTCCAAGACAGCCAGAGGGCTCATCGCTGCCTTCCGCGAGAACAATAGATCCCGTGGATATCCAAAACACGAAGAAATGCGACGTCAAAGCGAGTAGCAACCGAATGGTTCGAGGCGGGGATTGGAGCACGCCGGGTGGCGAAAGAAGCATGCGAGCATGGACGTAAGTGTAGGAGCACGATGATATGTGAAAGGGGTATGTGCAGCACATGGGGCATGTCCGTGAATACGTGAATTGCGTGCGATTCGAGCGGGTTCCGGATCGGGCGTGGTGTGTCTGGGCTAGGTGCTCTTATGGTGTAATGGTTAGCACTCTGGACTTTGAATCCAGCGATCCGGGTTCAAATCCCGGTAGGAGCTTGATTTTGTGCGGCGTTGCAAGCATAGTATGTAGCGATGGCGCCAGCTGTCGTGTGGGGCTGGAGAATCTCGTTTGAACTTCTGTTTGCGGATTGGCGAGTTAGTGCTGGTCTTATGGTGTACTGGTTACCACTCTGGACTCTGAATCCAGCGATCCGGGTTCGAATCCCGGTAGGACCTCGTTTTGCACCGCTCCTACCGGCGCTGCGCTGCGCACCTGCCACAGGCTATAGCCGCGTCACGCTGTGTTGCCGTGGTATGTTGTATCGTGTCCCGGCGATCCGCTGCCGATTTAAGTGGAAGCTGCTGCTCTGGCAGAGCCCACCAAGCCTAACTGCCGACTTCGCTCACTACCAATTCTCCAAGACAGCCAGAGGGCTCATCGCTGCCTTCCGCGAGAACAATAGATCCCGTGGATATCCAAAACACGAAGAAATGCGACGTCAAAGCGAGTAGCAACCGGATGGTTCGAGGTGGGGATTGAAGCACGCCGGGTGGCGAAAGAAGCATGCGAGCATGGACGTAAGTGTAGGAGCACGATGATATGTGAAAGGGGTATGTGCAGCACATGGGGCATGTCCGTAAATACGTGGATTGCGTGCGATTCGAGCGGGTTCCCGATCGGGCGTGGTGTGTCTGGGCTAGGTGCTTTTATGGTGTAATGGTTAGCACTCTGGACTTTGAATCCAGTGATCCGGGTTCAAATCCCGGTAGGAGCTTGATTTTGTGCGGCGCTGCAAGCATAGTATGTAGCGATGGCGCCAGCTGTCGTGTGGGGCTCGAGAATCGCGTTTGAAATTCTGTTTGCGGATTGGCGAGTTAGTTCGGTCTTATGGTGTAATGGTTAGCACTCTGGACTCTGAATCCAGCGATCCGAGTTCAAATCCCGGTAGGACCTCGTTTTGCACCGCTCCTACCGGCCCCACAACGCCCCAGTTGTTGCTGCGCTGCGCACCTGCCACACGCTATAGCCGCGTCACGCTGTGTTGCCGTGGTGTGTTGTATCGTGTCCCGGCGATCCGCTGCCGATTTAAGTGGAAGCTGCTGCTCTGGCAGAGCTCACCAAGCCTAACTGCCGACTTCGCTCACTACCAATTCTCCAAGACAGCCAGAGGGCTCATCGCTGCCTTCCGCGAGAACAATAGATCCCGTGGATATCCAAAACACGAAGAAATGCGACGTCAAAGCGAGTAGCAACCGAATGGTTCGAGGCGGGGATTGGAGCAAGCGGGGTGGCGAAAGAAGCATGCGAGCATGGACGTAAGTGTAGGAGCACGATGATATGTGAAAGGGGTATGTGCAGCACATGGGGCATGTCCGTAAATACGTGAATTGCGTGCGATTCGAGCGGGTTCCGGATCGGGCGTGGTGTGTCTGGACTGGGTGCTCTTATGGTGTAATGGTTAGCACTCTGGACTTTGAATCCTGCGATCCGGGTTCAAATCCCGGTAGGAGCTTGATTTTGTGCGGCGTTGCAAGCATAGTATGTAGCGATGGCGCCAGCTGTCGTGTGGGGCTGGGAGAATCTCGTTTGAAATTCTTGTTTGCGGATTGGCGAGCTAGATGCTGGTCTTATGGTGTAATGGTG